ATAAGGAGATCTCAACCAAATACTCTGATACGAATCCTTTTCTCTTTTTTATCTGGTTTTCCTTTTGCTTGCTCTACCTGCTGTTCCGTCACAACTAACTGCTGCTGTTCAGCAGCAGGGGGAAAAACTACAGCCATAGTGGCAGATGCTTGACCAACTCCTTGCTGTTCACAACGTTCTTGTGTCTCTTGACAAACAACAGCAACAGCAAAATTACCTTCTAAATCAGCCCCTTGTGTACTACCAAGTGAAAATGAACATAAATTGAAGTTGGGCATATCACTGGTGTCACACATAGGAGAACTAGAAATCTTCCTTCTCTTAGGTTTCGGAAGAAGTTCCGATGTATCAGATGAGATCTGCAAAAGAAAGGAAAATATAAACATAAATAAAAATGATAGAGAACACACATTAGGCAAAAAAAAACAGCTTGTAATCGAATTGCAGAAAATAACTACCTGGTCTAAGTGTTGCGACACATATGGTGTTTGCATTCCAACAGATCCTGTATCTTCATGAAAAAAAATAAAAATAAATAAACAAATAATACTGACTAAATTTTATAAAATAATACCAACACACTTCACACTTGTCTGTGAGGCAACAGTTGTGAATGTATGTATTTCTCCTTTTTCATATTGCTCTTTAAGCTCACCAAATTCTTTTTGAGCTGCCTCGAGTCTTTCTGAAAAATCATTCAAAAACATAAAAAAAAAAAATAAAGTATGTAAAATTTCAAACTGTAAAAAATATACTTCGATCAAATATAATAAATTCATGATCTATAGAATACCTTGACGTTTGTCTTCCGCTGTGGTTTCCCTAGGCTGCATGCCTTGGTTGATATCAGCATTTCTAGCTTCATTCAATTCTGAACCAATGTCGAGGACCATTGCAGTATTTTCTGGAAGGTTTTTCTCAACTCTACCTTCATTCAATTGAGCATCATCAGAGAGTTTTTGAGTTGAACCACAACTAGTTTCAACTTCCACTGCATATTCATAAAAGAGGGGGAATAGATCAACTAGTTTTTCTATATATAAAACTTAGAAATAATTTATACTTGTAGTGAAAATTTCACTACAGGATATTATAAAAACAAACAGTTAAAACTTCAACTCTAAGAAGGCTGAAGTTAGCCAGTCACAAACAAAAACTTCGACAGTTACAAAAAAAACTTCAGCTCTAGAGCTGAAGTTCGAAAGTTATAAAAAAAAACTTCAGCTCTTTCGACAGTTATAAAAAAAAAACTTCAGCTCTATAGCTGAAGTTCACCAGTTACAAACCAAAACATTCACCAAAAAACATGCTGTAGTTTTTACAAAAAACACAAACACATGAAACAAAACTTCAGCTCCTATCTAAGGTATAATTGAAATATTATAAACTTCACACTTTGTACCTGTAGTAACAATTTCCTGTGTATCACCACCTACAAGTTCTTTGCAAATAGCTAGTGCTCCTGCATATTGATCGTCTTTCCCAAAACATTCATGAACAGGTGCTTGATCTCCATTGCCTTTTCCAATATCACTTTCCAAAGCACAACTCGGTGCATGTTTTTCAGTGCCAACAACTTGATCATCTGCACCTTTCTCTCCACCTTTACTTTGTCTACAAACATTGGATTGTTCCTCTCCACCTTGTTGTTGAACATGTTCAACGCCTTCAACAGCCGCTTCATTATGTGTAGCATTATCATCTGCGACTTTACGCAATGCATCATGAGCAGTATGTTCTTCAGTCTCAACAACTTGATTATCTGCACCTTGCTTGCTTCCAATATTCTCAGTTGCTAAATGTGCTTCATCATTTACATCTCTGCTCAATCTATCAGCACTGGAACGTCGCTCTTCAAATTCTTCTTGAACATGTTGATCGCCTTCAAAAGCCGATGGATGTTCGTAACAGTCGTTCATCCTGTTATATTCTCGATGCTTACTCAAATCAAAATTGCCATCGTCCATTCCATTTGATTTGTTGACAATCGTAAACAACTGTTCAAACTTCTCATCGACATATTCCTAGAAAAAAATTACTAACAATGATTAATCTGAATAACATCAGCACAAATAAAAAGACTTCTCTATAAATTAGCTTACCTTCACTTTTACAAAACCCGCATCCACAATACCAGTTCGCTCCTCCTTTTTAAACTTATAAAAAACTTCGTTCACGATCGTGCTTCTTTCTTTTTCTGCATGCCTTTGAACCTCCGTCGTTAACCTCTAGAATAGATACACAACAAAAATTCAAATATAGAAGAATACTTCAACTCAAAAAACAGGTTGTACTTTTACAAAAATAAACCCAAAAAACTTCAGATCAAAACTTACAGAGCATATTGTCTCAAGTAATTCATTGTCATCAAAGTCAGATGTAGATGAGGTAGAACGACTCTTGGTAAGAGATGCTTTGCCAATAAAAGGAGTTGGATTCGGTTCTTTTGGTTGATTCTGACTACGTGGTGATTCACCAATGACATGAGTTTGATTCGGTTCTTTTATCGACTCAGAGTAGGTGGTGATTTACCAATGACAGGAGTTCGATTCGATTCTTTTGATCGACTCAGAGTACGTGGTGATTCACCAGTTGAAGGAAACTGCATTAACTGCATTTGAACGAATCCGGCTGCACGGTAATTTCCCAATTAAAGGCATTGAATTCAATTCCTCTTCTGTAGAAATTATATCCAATACCCTAAAGTCGCGATATCTCTGTTTAATATAAAAAAGTATATTATGAGGAGAAAAAACTAATACATCAGCATATTAACACAAAGACAAAAAAAAATAAAAGTAACTTACTTCATGAGTTTTGAACATATAATACAGTTCGGGAAATTTAAGCTCTCCCACGCATACATAACGTAACATCCTGGGGACCTGAGGGTTATCAAGGTACTCATCCTCTCTTATATACTTCTCCCGAACATCTGGGAAGCGCTCATAGAACCAAGCACATAACGGATATGGAAATCCACCAAGTTTATACTCAGTTGTATGGAATTTGTTCTGCTTGTCCAATGCATGTTTCAGGGAATAAATGAGCTTCTCATAAGCCACATTACCCCAAGGATATTCAGCGCAAACCTTATCATCTTCAACAATAGATGCATACTCCTCCGCCACACATAACTCAGTATTTTTCCCAAACAGAATAGACTCTACAACAACAATTTCCATAAGCTTAACTGCATCATCATCACTCTCGCATACGTATACATGATTCACAACATTCTTTGGAATTTCATTGCGAGTCATAAAACTTCGAATATCCTTCAAAGTCACACCCTTGGACTTACCAAAATACCGCTTCAGATGATTGCTCTCTCGATTAATTGGTCTTTCAACATTGTGTGCTCTGATCCGCAAATCACACATAATGTGAAAGTCTTCAAGGGTGAAGGAAACATCATGCCCAAAAATCTTGAAACTAATGGAGTCTCGATCATTCGTGAATATTCGAGAAAGACACAGACAATGCACCAACTTCATGCTGCATTGAAAATTCTCCATAGCCATAATGTATCTAAATGTACCATTATTAAGCTTATCCTGTTGAGTAGGAGTCAAGAAAGTTGCAATTAATTTCTTCAAATCATGGTTCCCCTTCCAGTAACCCTTAGAGTTAAACCAATCTCCAAACTCATAATATTTTTGTCCTGGTTTTGTAGGTGGAGCAGAGAGGACATAAGGACCTTGGGGTATTACAGGTAGTCTAGGTGCTTTAGGGGCTTTGCCTTTTTTAGCTGCATTATGATCTTTAGGTGCTTTCAATGCAGTGGTGTTGGTTCCGATTCGACAAAAATGCCTGGTCGAAGGTCCAGTAAAAATAACATCAGGACATTATCAAAAAAGATCAGTTAAAACTTCAATACCTAGGAAGGCTGAAGTTCGACAGGCATAAAACAAAAACTTCAGCTATAGAGCTGAAGTTCGACAGGTATAAAATAAAAACTTCAGCTATAGAGCTGAAGTTCGACAGGTATAAAACAAAAACTTCAGCTCTAGAGATGGACTTCACCAGTAACAAACACAAAAACTTCAGCTCTAGAGATGGACTTCACCAGTAACAAACATAAAAACTTCAGCTCCTAAAGGTGGACTTCACCAGTTACAAACACAAAAACTTCAGCTCCTAAAGCAGAACTTCACCAGTTACAAGCATAAAAACTTCAGCTCATAAAACTGAACTTCACCAGTTACAAGCACAAAACATTCAGCAAAAAAACATGCTGTAATTTTTACAAAAAACAAAACACAAATTCAAATCCAAAATAATGCCAAAACATGAAAAAAACTTCAGCTCATATCTAAGATATCATTGAACTATAGTATCATCTGTTTAACTCTCAAAATTTTTAAAAATTTGAACGTCTAATCACAGAAGAAATTATAGAATTTTCATTAACAACATAAAACACTCGTTCAAAAACCTAAAAAACAACAATACGTAAAAGTAAAACTAAATGCACTTATCAAACTAAACTACTAAGAAAATAATTTATTCATAAATAACATGACTATCAAAACCAAAATACAGAAATTAAATACGTAAAATAAAACCCAGAAAGTTAATGCAATGTACCTGTGATTAAATTGTAATGTGGGAACAACGACGACTAGCAGTTGAAAAATCAAAAACAACGACGAAAACCGCTTGATTTCAGAGAAGAACTTCAAAAAACGCGAATAACAGGAGAGAGAGACAGAGAAAGTAGAGGACTAGCGAATACTTGGAGAGAAAGTAGTCTTTTTAATAAGGAAAGGCAAAATGGTCTTTTCAAATAGCTTTTAACAAAAAAACGGGTACGGGTACAAATAGAAAGATAAAGCGGCTACAGGTTAAAAAGGGGCGGCGCCCCGTGCAATTTTTAGAGTACCTTTCGTTCTTGGGCCTCAAATTTCACCGCAAACGGCCCAAGAGTTCTCCAGACATCTTCGAATTTCTTCCACTAACGTCCTACAATTTTCTTGCCCGCCAAGACATGACCCTACGTAAACACTTTAACCCCACCCCCTCCCCCAAAGTCCCGCAATTTTCCAACATCATCAGAAAACCTTAGCAGAAAACAAAGTTAAAACAAAAATGGAGTTGTTCGAATCCGTGCCATCTTCCAAAGCAATTTTGACGGCGACAACTTCTCTTACCGCTTCTGTAATTCTCTTCAGATCAATAGCTAGCGATCTTGTACCTGAAACACTTCAGCACTTCTTTTCTTCACGCTTTCAGAAACTATCGAACCGCCTTTCCTCACAATTGATAGTTGTCATAGAAGAATCTGAAGGTCTCACTTCGAACCAGATGTTCGACGCTGCTAACGTTTATTTGGGTACTAAGGTTTCTCCTTGGACTCAAAGGATCAAAGTCAATAAGCCCGACAAAGATGAAGAGCTCGCCGTCACTGTTGATAGGTAAACCTCGGCTTGAACTACATATACTTAACAATTTTTAAAATGTGTAATTTATAATTTATAGTTTGATAAGAAGTTCGTACAACTGTAACAAATTGGTAGTGAGCAGGGGACGATTTCCACTAAGGGGTTCATAAAGGAAAAGGGTTAAAAATTAAAAGAGACTGGGCAATGGGAAAGTGACCTCATCAAGGTTTTGAACCCGTTGACCACGAGCTATGTACAGTATAATTTATAATTTTCCAGCAAAGGAGGTTCATTCCGCCCCTTAATCCGCCCCTGGTAGTGAGTGCAGCCAGTCTTAAGGATATAACTTATATATACGTTGTGATTCTATTTTACACCAGTTATTTAATCGTGCTTATTATATATGCTTTTTGTACCATAAGACGATTAGCTGAATTATACTCTCTTTTTTTATTATGAGCAATTGATAGAATACTAGCAGAGTTATCTGTATACTTTTAAAATCTCTTACAACAGATTATTTACTCTTTTTTGCATGTTATCATATTAGATTTGCTAATAATCAATGGAGGAGCTGAGCGTAGGGAATCATTGAAAAACTATACAGTGAAAATATGCAAATTAAGAGAGTAAAAATAAAATTTTTGATTATACATAAACGGTTGAATCCCGAATATAAGGAAAAAGTCTTGTGAAGTGGCAAAAGGGGTACAAAAATTGTTTTAGCTCACTGGTCCAAATCTCAGATATGACATTCTATAGTTTTTTTTAATCCCCTTGTATAACTTTATGGCTCTGTTACTGCTACAAATAGTTACTTTTTGTTGTAAGTTATTGACTAAGGTAACTCAAATTTTAAACGTACTGAGTTAAAATCTTGGATCCATAGGTACCAAGAAGTAACAGATTGTTATGAAAATGTGAATTTCACCTGGATTTTGAAGTCCATGGGAATCAAACAGAGTGACAAAAGCTCCAATCCCAAGACCGAGCTTCGATATTTTGAGTTGAGTTTTCACAAGAAGAAAAAGGAGATGGTTTTAAAATCTTATTTACCATATATATTGAGTAGGGCCAAAGAGATTAAGGAAGAGAAAAAGGCAGTGAGGTTACATACAGTGGATTATAATGGAACTGATTATTGGAGTTCCGTGGTGTTAAATCATCCTGCAACATTTGATACAATGGCAATGGAACCAGAAATGAAGAAGGAGCTGATTGAGGATCTTGACATGTTTGTGAATAGGAAAGATTACTATAGGAGAGTTGGCAAAGCATGGAAACGCGGGTACTTGTTATATGGACCACCTGGTACAGGAAAATCGAGCTTAGTTGCAGCTATGGCTAATTACCTTAAGTTTGATGTTTATGACTTGGACTTGAGAGAGGTGCAATGTAATTCGGATTTGAGAAGGTTGTTGATCGGTTCTGCAAATCGCTCTATACTTGTGATAGAAGACATTGATTGCAATGTGGGGTTGCAGAATAGAGAAAATGAGAATGACACAAGCGAAGATGACAAGGTATTGTAATGCATTTATTTGACACAGTTTCAGTTTACTGAACTATTCAATTCCTCTTAACCACACTGCATATAAGAATAGGGAAAATGGTCAAAGTACTCCTCTACAATATGAGGTATCTTAATTTTATTATATGTTATACTTTGAGGACATTCATACCTTGTTGTTAGCAAATTGTTTAGTATGTGTTCTTGATCCTAATAGAAATCCAGTGTGGACCCTAATTGAAGTATATCGGAGGATAATTCTAAATCATAATCAGAAGTAGAGGGGCATATCTAGACCTTTTTTATTATGTATTCTGACACAAGAAATCCACTCATTTCATGCTACAACTCTGTTAAGATATTGCATATAGTAAAGGAATAAGCTTGATCTTTTTCCCTAAGAAATTTCATTTGGTATCACTAGATATTGTTATGTTGTTATACTTTGACCTGTAGTTTGCTAAAATTTCTGCAAATACAGATTACACTGTCTGGGCTGTTGAACTTTATTGATGGGTTGTGGTCGAGTTGTGGGGATGAGCGAATCATAGTGTTCACGACAAATCACAAGGACCGACTTGATCCAGCATTGTTGAGACCTGGCCGTATGGATGTGCACATTGAGATGTCGTATTGCACTTTCAGTGGTTTCAGGATACTAGCATCTAACTACCTAAAAATTGAGGAGCACAGCAAGTTTAGGGTAATTGAGAATCTGCTCCTGAAAGTGAAAGCAACTCCAGCTGAAGTTGCAGGAGAGCTGATGAAGAGCAACAATGCTGAAATTGCACTAGAAAACCTCGTCAAATACCTTTCAAAACAAAATGCATTGCTGACTGAAACAGATGGACATTAGGGACTACAGCGGAGGACAAATAAATTCGGCATAGAGTGAGATATTCTTTCATCTGTTAAAGAGCAAGATTTTTATAGTTCATTAGCTTTTGTTAAACTTGGTAACATAATCATGCTGATTCTTTGATTCTATTCATCATTGGACCTCCATCTATTTATAAGTTTGGCGTGATGCTTTACAAAATCTACTTTTGGTTAGTTGTGTCATTACATGGTTAGAAATATTTCCATTCTGCCTGTATAGAATAGTTTGCAGATGCAGAACTGAAGTCCATCAAATTACTTAACACAACATACTAACAGGTTCACCAACCTAGAAAAGATTTGAAGCTTAAAAGAGGGAGAAAACAAAATGTTGAACAAACAACAATAATATATTGATGTGTTATAAAACGATATATACTGATAGTTACAAATAATAATGGTTAAATCAGAGACCACTCTACTATTCCCAAATTTCATAAACTTGTGCAGTGAGTACTCTTGGATTCGAATCACCATCACGTACAGCTTACTTCTTCACAAACTGGACAGTGACATATATACGAAGAAACATTGCTAGACGTACCTTCTTCACATTCAAATCCTGTTTCAGCAGCATATGTTTCGCAACACCTTACCTGTCCTAGTGAACAAGCACTTCAGAAGCTAATTTTGTTAACCAATCTAGACAAAGAAAACCTCATAGTAAAAGAAAGAAGCAGTTTTTAATCAAATGGAACATACCATCTTTTCCTGATTTCCTCCTACTGATAGCCTCGCAGGGTCCAATGTTGCCACTTTATTGTCTAAACACTCTGCTGTATTGTCTAAACACTCTGCTTCCCTTCCACAGTTCATCTTCATGTAGCTCAGAATCAGTTAAAATACAGTAAGATGGTAATTTACGCGAAGAAAAGCTACTAATAATCCACATTCACCAGTGATATCTTGAGTTTTCTCCACGGCCCTTTATCTGACATTAAACAACCACCATCATTTTCACATGTACAGCTGCCGCCTAGAAAATCTGGCAACTCACTGGGAATCACATAGTTTTTGACAAGATGTTAATCGTTTAAGGAACACTATAACGGCTAGGATAGAGAAAAAAAAATAGAGATAATTACCATTCATCGATGATTTCGAGCAGTTTGCCTTTATAATTGTTGCCAAGAACCTAGAAATTTGACAAGTTATAATTCTTAATGAGCAAACATATAATATGTCCCATTGACTCATATCCTTCCATCTCAATCTACGACCAATTCTGAAGTAGATTACAGGCATCGATAAGAATAAGACTTAAAGATTCAGAAGCTGCTTAAAATAATGATTACCAACAGATGATAGAACTTAATATAAAAGGAACATGGAAAAGCTTGGTCAAAGGGAAGAAGGCATGCCATACATGAATCTTGGAAGTAGTTTCAGGGTCAAGAAAAGGCTTGAGTATATTCCAAATGAGCCTAAATCCAGGTCCAGCATTTATGACAAACATTTCGCCAAGTGTCTGCAAAATTAGTTTCTCAAGGTTAGATATTAGGTTAGCATTCTTATATGGTACATGAAGGCGAAAAAGGAAAAAGGAAATCAGAAACAGATATGTATTACTGCTAGCTAATAAGGGGTATAGCGAATTACTTCAGGGTAAAAGTCATTATCAATCTTCTGCAGCCGCAAAATGACTTCTCGTACAGGTTTTGAGAAATTCCTTAAACTCTATAACATAGAAAACAAATTATGAAACTGAACTATAAGAAGCATATTGTTGAAAATCCACCAGAAAAGACTAATAATTTAGTGAATATACCACTCCTTCGACATCCAAAATGGTTACACTTCTGTCTATATGTCTTTTTGCAGCTACAGAGCAGGCAGGAAACCTGAAGGCAATAGACTTCTCAAACTCTTGAACATGATATTTAACATATCGATCCAAAGTAGTCACTTCCAAAAGCTTTTCCACATTCATTAGCCCCAATCTTTCGATATAAACTGGTCTTCCTTCCTTATCTGTGCCATGATAACCCTGAGGGTAGTTTTGCAGAACTTTATCCCTTTCATGGAAGTCAAAATCCTGAGGAAAATATTGTATACGATCAAGAAACAATAGGTAAAGTGACTAGCATCGACGTTTTAGCAATAACAAGTGCAGACAGCAAGTTCAAACCACTCCAACTTCATGGATGTTTCATAGCGTTGAAAGAGCTATATAATAGTAACGGATTTTGAAAATTCCACTTACAGCCTTGTTTGGATGGTTGTTATGTATCGTTTCATAATGTATCATTTCCTAATGTATCATATAGTATTATATTGTACTGTATCGTTTTGATGTATACAATGTTTGGATAGATTTTATAGTTTGTCGTGGTTTCATGAAGTCATGCACCAACAATGACGAATAAATTTGCAACATTATTAAGAAAAAGTAAGATACAAGGTAAAATTATTATATAAAAAGGTAGGTTAAAAGATAAAATAAGATTATTTAATAATAAGATGGAGGGAAAAAAAAAAAGGTAACGATGCAACCACACCATATCGGTCGCTCCATAAAGTGACACTTTTCGTCGTTATATATCGACAGATTTAACGGTACGATACAATAAAATTTAAGTAACAATCAAAATAAACATAGTATTTGAAATAACAATACGATACAATACAACAGGTAGCAACCGTCTAAACAAGCTGTTAGCTCAAGCCAAATGACTTGTCTCCTTCTCTTATGAATATTCAAGTTATTATGTTAGTTAATGACATTTTAACAGTAACATGAAGAAGAAGAAGAATTAGACTATTTGTACCTTGATTATAGTGTCAGTTCCAAAATCTCTCCTCCACTGAAGCATAGTTGTCCACATGCACTTTGCCTTCTCAATGTCAAACTTTCTAGCTTTCAGAAATCTGACAAAAAAACATTGAACAGCTAATGTGTATACCAACACAGAAGAAGCTTCATTGAGCCCAGTTATGAAATCCAATTTTATGCATCCTACATTTCTAGCATATGTAAATTATAGATCTCTAATAAGAACTCATTATATGAATTTGGCATCAAGGTTAAAATCTGCGAACTCTTGCATTAGCTCAATTATTACAGCACCGAAAATTTAGCAGCTCATGCATAATACAGGTTACACTCTGCATGTTTAAAGGGCAGCCCGGTGCACTAAGCTCGCGCTATGCGTGGGTCCGGGGAAGGGCCAGACCACAAGGGTCTATTAACGCAGTCATACCCTGCATTTCTGCAAGAGGCTGTTTCCACGGTCCTGGTCACATGGCAACAACTTTACCAGCTACGCCAAGGCTTCCCCTTCACACTCCGCATGTTTGTGGTTAAATATTGGCAAGGGCACCTTAATAATTTGAGATTATCATCATGCAAAGCAGGAAGCAGGTTCTCCTTTATCAGCACTTGTCGAAAAGCATTAACAAACTTCAACTCCACAGGGCCCCTAATTTCCTTTATGGTAAAAGAAATTCCAAGATCATTTTGTTTCGTGATTGTCTTCACTAAGGAATTCCCAGCTCCATTGGACGGCTCTCTCTCCACTGTCTTAAAGATCCCAATCCCATTCCTCCTTCTCAATTGATCATCACAATTTCCATCATCAAATGAAGATCCTTCACCACCTGCGCAAATTTACATATTTATAGTTAGACTTAACCATGCGAGTACTAAATCGATAAGTAACAATGCTTCTTGATTGTATCAAAGTCCCTGCATCAACAAAAGCGAATGAAACCTCTATTTATAGGTTCTACTATATCCATTATTTCGATGCTGAACACAGATATATATATGCAAAGAAAACACACTAACATTTCAACAAACAGTATATTCTGAACCATAATAAAACGACAATGTGTTCAGGCTAAGAATCTCAAAAGTTGAACCCATCGAATTTAAATACCGAATTAACCTATGTGCATACACACCAAAAAGCTAAAACACCAAAAGTTCAACCACTTCAATATTCAAAACCTCAAATCCAAAATTAATTGGTTTAGGCTATATATGGATCCTCCAAATCATAATTTGCCTCTCTGCCTTCACTAGGTAGGAGTTAAGTCTGCGTACGCACTACCCTCCCCAGACCCCACTTGTGGGAATATACTGTGTTTGTTGTTGTTGTTGTTGTTGTTGTTGTTGTTGTTGTTGTTATTGTTGTAATCTGGCATCAACCAACCGAAATCATATTTTGCAAATTAATTAAGAGTATGAGTCCTCCTTTCCTGATTTGGGATAGGTTATCTTATGTACTTATATCTTGCAAACTCAATTGAAAAACAAACATAGAAACCAGAATCCTACAGAGAGAAAAAAAAAGACCGGATAAGAAATATACTTTACGGGATTATGCAAAAAAGTATAATCTAATCTCCTATACTGTTTCCTTAAGATTGACTTCTAACCTCTTGATCACATGAGATTATGAATATATTATGTTAATGAAAATAGTAGAGAGAAAATATCAAACTGAAAAACGAACAAAATCGACACATAGATCAACAGTAGGTACCTGACATTTTCTGAGGACTAAAAATTTAAGTTAATTAACGATAAAAATGTATGCTAAACTGATTGAAACCTTATAAAGGTAAATCTCATCACCCTGCAAATTGCAAAAAATAAAATAAATAAATAATTGAGCAATCGGAAAATGTGGAAATGGTATTTAACTACTTTACTTCAAACACACTCACATGGAAACATATTTGGATTTTTGGCTTTGTCAAAGTCGAAGTGAAGAGAAACTGGGGAGTTTCCTGAAGCAGTTAAGCGTTCTGTCTACTTTTGAATAGCGGTTGGTTTTGTTGGTGGGACCCACTACTTGCTATATGGGACCCTTTTTCTTAGTGGCGGGAATATGCCATTGATAGCTTCTGTATCTATATTTTATGCTCTAACCCTCTCTTTTTTACCAACATTTTTATTTTCATTGAACCGTCGCAAAAATAATTCAAAAATATTATTACTTTGAATTATCTTTTCGTTTCTAGATTGAGATACGACCTCTTCACAGGTATCAGGTTGGAAAGTAGACAAAAACTTAGTTAAAACAAACCTATGATTTTAATTTCTGATTTGATGAATTTGCAAACTGGATCAAAACAAGTTTGATTTTATCAATTTTATTTCAATTGTCGATTTAATTTTGGGTGTGTTTTCCCGGTTTGTCCTATTTTTGGCTTTTTTGATTTCTTTTCATCTTTGCACCTCCCTCTTTACTCGTTACATCGGAAAAATATGAGTGCATCGTACTTCCATCATTTTTACGTTGTTAAATACAAAAGAAGAAAAACTAAAAATGTTGAATCAAAAGCATTGCGTATGAATTGTTTTTGTTTGATCACTAACCCGTCCCACCGGACAAGCAATTTCTAGTTTTGTTGACGGAACGAAAACGACCCAAAGATCTTTGATCAATAAAGGAAAGAACCTATTTTTAATAAATTCTACAACAATTACGTGCAAGTTCTTCTCTCTACGATGAAATAAGATACCCGTTGAACTGGGAATATACCCACAAATGGCTGTGACTGAAACACTATTTTAGTTTATTCACTATCACGATTCCTGGTATATTTAGCATCTTCTTTTCTATGCTCAAGCTATTGCTGTCAACACTGCAATCTGAGCCGAGCGCCTACCAAAAACAAGCTCAGTCTACGTTAGTGGTAGCAAAATGTTTAGAAGAAAACAATTATTCACCTATTATCTAATAAAAATTTGATTGAATAATGAACTTTTTAAAAACAGGTCAAATATGAATAAAAATCATATTATCCACTTAGAAAATAAATAACCAATGGATAACTAATGAGTTTAAGTTAAATTCGTGAAGCCTCAAATTGAGAGTTCTTCAAATTTAAGAAACTAGAAATTCCCAAAAGTGATCATATCAAGAAGTCGTGGATAATATGGATATCCATATTGTTCGCCGATTAGCTCATTTTTTTATCCGTATTAAAGATGAATTGGGCCAGATAGTATATCAATTTATGCATTGCCTATTTTCGACCCGTCCATATCCAACCTGACCCGCCATTTGCCACCCATAGTCTACGTACGCTCTACCCTCCTCAAACCCCACTTTGTAAGATTACACTGAATTTATTATCGTTGTTGCTGTCAACACAGCAATGTCTAATAGTGCAGGAACCCGTCGCTTTCCTTATAACTACTACTTCCAATTTCTTTTTTGGTTCCTAAATGACATAGTCAGTCTACCAATATATAGTACCTGATTAATTCAGAAGCGTATCCAAAATTTAAACTTGATAAGTACAACTAAATCCAGCAATTTCTACATTAACCATAGTACCATACATATAGCACCCACCAATGGATTAACTACTAAATCCTGTGTAACATTACTTGCTAACAAGAGCATCTTAAGCTGATTTTTCATAACAGTGGTCACATATTACGATCTCAACTATACTATGATATTGACTATTGAGCTGCCGTTTGGTAACAGCAAGTCCATACCCAATGACATGCCATTTATACAGATCATAACAATTTGTAGGAGATTGAAGGCACAGTTTAAAATGCAAGATTAACATGAAACTGAATAAAGTTCATGTCCAAGAACACCATAAGTTTACCGGTTTGTTTTACATTAGCATTACAATCTATACAGATATTCACAAGTTTTTTTTACATATTAACGGAGAGTTACAATTTGATCTTTGAAGATGCTGACCACATTGGCTCCGATGAATGGCTTCTATATACACAGTAGTCCTTTGCTCAGACAACTCTAAAGCACACCTATGAAACAAGCTTCTAATCAAAATCAACCGTCGTGCTCCTCCAATGTTTAAATTCAAATACACGTCGAAGGAAAGTAAGACTAATAGCTTCGCAGAATATGTAGGGTCGAGGAAAATTATTGGACAATGTACCTGTTATATCCAGTTTCGCTTGGACCGCAGTTGAGTAAGCTTGTCCCTCCACAGAGCTGTAGTTACCAATATACAAGTGAGAATAAAACATATAACCAGGGATATAAACTGGCAAAACAACAAAAAAAAGAGAAAACAGGAAATACGAAAAAAATCCCACAAAAAGAAAAAAAAAATAGGTAGCGAGGGAAGGCCTGTCAGGAAAAACCAGTGCATAAAGTATGCCTGTCAATTCTAGCTTAAAAGATTACACTTCCAGGAAAGAAAATGAACTCGAGAAAATTTAAAAGTTGATACTTCATCTTAGTAGAAAATGGCACCATGCCCCTTCTGCAGGTTCTCATTGATGTAATTTTCTGGACCCATATAAGTAAGCGGTTCACAGAGCATAGATGGTGGCGACAAACCATTCCAAACAAAATCTGGACATGTTAAACAAAGAGTACCTGCATCTCTATATCGTTCTTCAACTGCTGCAATCAGCATGTTCCGCACAAGAATAAACTCCTTTGTTTCAATGCATGGCCGGCCAGAAGGTCTGACCCATAAAACAAGTTAAATTACGTATTTGATTGTCAAACAAGTTAGATTATATTTATCACAACAGAATAAGTGAGTAACATGGCCAATGCGGATACATATAGCCGACCTCAACTTGTGTGGGAATGACGTGTAGTTGTTATAGAATAAGGTACTGTCAAACAACCACATCTGATGATGACATCAATACCAAATTCGTTTGAGGTACATGGAGTTAGAATTTCAGCTAGTTTCAAATTTCAAACTATAACAATCTTATCTCTCAAACAGGAGATAATGCTGTGTGTCATTTCATTAACATATATACCATGTAAGAAAATTGGGCAATTTATTGAACTGCTTTTTCTGAAAAAAACAAGATGTGGATAAAGTTTCACAAGGATTTTCTAAAAGAGCTTTACCTGTCAAGCTCAGCGAACAATAAACCATCCGAACCAGTAGTGTGCACTGCTGGCTTCGGAGTTTCAACTATTCTCATACCATCACTGTAAGCCAAGTACTTGTTGACTTGTATTGGCACCTAGAACAATTAGACAACAGAAGCTTTATCATGTTAGCATTCATTTGGTGCAAGGGTAAGATAAAGTTGGATTACAATACCATCAGATTACAAGCGAGCAAATAGGACTATAGTGATGAGGACTAGAGGAAAATGTGGATGGCCCCAGACACAGTTTCTATACTGAGCTCGATCCGTGGATAGGTTTGGGATTAAATATAGTTATATCCTTAAATTTCCATACTTGGTATGTAGGAGGAAAGTGAGTGGGGAAGTAGTAGTGCTGGGAGGTATAGGACCAGATACAAAAATGGTGGTGACAGTCAATTGAAATATTGAGTTGAGTCTGATCTCCAGCTTATAATCACTACACTGATAAGGGAGGAGCAATTATAATCCTCTCATCTCCCATCATATATCGGGCACAATACAAACCCTTAGAAGTCATTTGGTTTACATAGACATTATCGTTCGCTTGTATCCTCAAGATATTATGTCGAGCAGATTATTAATTAAAGGATCATGAACTGGATTCTACTTGTAAGGTGAGACATATATTGAATATACTGAATATAGTGACAACAGACTAATATTTTAAACATCACATCTAATCAAGTTATTATACAAGAGAATTCATCATTTTTTGTTTAGAAGTAATAAAGAGTAATTACTTGAGCAATATAGAGCACTTAAAAAAGGGAGAGGGTTGCATAGAGGGCAACAAAGGCGGGAAGTAATCAACAAATTGAACCCAAGTTCAGTTGCTGGATAATAATTTTATTCCTGGACCACACAAAAAATGCCACTTAAAATGGAATATTACTAGTTTCAGCTCAGTTAACATATGACAAAGCTAAAAATGCCAGTAGAACTGCCGCCATATTTCATGTTAAGAATTTTTTGGAGCTTGTCGGAGATCAAGAAACATAGAAAATAAAGTTATTCTCCGCAAATTTTATTTGTAATTCTTGGATCAACAACAACACCGACCCAGTAAAATCCCACTAGTGGGGTCTGGGATCAATTAACAGGAATTAAAGCGTCAAATTCACATTTCATTTTGCTTCTCCACCAAATACCATAATCCACACCCCAAAAGGAGGACTAATAGAGAAACCAGAGGATAAATCTTGAGATGGATAAAACACATGTATCAGTTAACTCATGTATAAAACAGAAGTTGGAGACTAGTTATTCACCTTGCTTCTCACAGCAATGTTGATTGCATCAGAAGGACGAAGATCAAAGCTAATAATCTCAGCATCATCATCTGACTGTAATGACAATCACACCAAAGTTGGTTAAGTTGCACCACCTAGCCTAAAAGTGTATTGAAACTTGCGAACGTGATCAATCAAGAGCATAGTAACATCATTTTACACACCTTTGTCAGGTATAACTGAGCATAATATGCCTCATGCACTCTCTTGGTAACTCGGACAAGTTTAACCTTCGAACAGAAAAACTGTCAGATTAAGCCTAAAAGCTAACACAATTACTGGTAAAGCACAAATAACAAGCTTACCGTGTAACCCATCTTCTCAACCATTTCCTTCACAACTTGGTACATTGTTGGTCTGGCCTGAAACAAAGGCAATATTTTTCTTCTTCAGTAACAGGAATAGAACAATGCTGCTAATTTTGGCGGGATCGGTTTACCAGATCCAATATAGGGAGACTTACAATTTGTACATTGCGCACAGCTGCCATGAGCAGCGCACTTGGCATCTCCACTGTCATATAAACAGACACAGAGAAAAGATACAGTCTTATATTTTAATTATGCGCCTAAGAAACAATCTAGTCATTTAAACAAATGAACGAAATATCTACGTACAAACAATAATAGGGAGAAGAAGTCCTGTCCCGTCTTCCATTCTCAAAACAATCGCTGGATGTGGAGCATAATCAGGCAGATGACCTCCTTGTGGATTATTATGGACACATTTCAAATGCCTGCCATCTCTCATCTTGATCATGAAACCATCTGGTCCACTTCGCACTTCAACTACATAGAAGAATAGGAAAGTTACACCACCCAAAATAAAAATTGCTACACTTCTATTTATTTTTGTTTGGGCAAATAGCATATTCACTTTTTCTTTTTTTGACATATGAACTTAAAGAGGTTCTCATCTCTCAGTTTTTGAGAGATAAGATTGCCTCAGACTACCGCGAAGACAAAAGATCACCAAGTAGTAAGGTTTGCAACCGGACTCCAAAATTTGACACGTGAAGAGACGCAGAAAAAAAGGTAGGAAAAATAATGGGAACATCATCACAATGTTTGGCAGGATCATTTCAATACTAAATTAGAAGGTTACACTTTATATGTAGTGTCATTATTATTTGGTACAATGAATCCCAGCATGAGTAATTGTTTCTTGTCAATAAAGAATATAGCAGTTGAGAACAAAGTTAGCATACCAGCTTCTACCACGCTAGAGTTCACATAATCTGCATCGTTTTCATTGGAATTTTCTGCTGTGCTGCCATTTCCATTTGATGATGAACTAAAACTGCATCCAATCGCCTTGCTTACTCGTGATCGTGGTTGACGAGCCACATTAACCCGGAAGCTAGAGATCCCATTATAGCCCCAGAACCCACTCTTCAAAGTCTTAGCCCTCACAACAGAAGATTTGACAGGAACAGCAAACTGACTTGTTTGCTTCCCACGAACCACAGGACAAATAACTGGCCCTTGTAAAGAGCTCATTCTGCCTACTCCGCAATCTACTTAGACAACAACAGATTAAAACCAATGACATCATTTTTTGAACAAGATAACAATAGATTACAACTACGGCTCAATCTCAAACTAGTAAAGGTCACTTGTATAAATTCTCTATATCCATTCAATTCTATTTGGACCTATTTCATTCCAATAACCAACAATTTGTCTGTTAAAACAATGGTCTTTTTCTTTTTTATTTATTAAAAAGATTATGGTAAGTAATCTTTTAAGAGAAATACAAATCTCTATATAGTTAAAGATGACAAATTAAATAGTTTGACAAACTACAAGTGAATTCTAATGTTCCAAAAAACCAGAGGATTACAAAGTATTTGACCAATTCAGTGCTCCAACTGAATTCAAAACTCAGTTTGGGAATAACATCAAAGTCAACCCTTTGTCTCTGATCACTACTTTACAGTCTTTATTTTACTGCTTACTATGTATCAAAACATAGTTAAACTCGCATAAACACAAAAAAAAAAGAGATTAAATCTTTAAACTTAATTCTGCTTGAATTTCGATAAAATTCAACTTATTAAGTAGGATAATCCTTTGATCGATCCAAAACAACAAGCATAATTGCGTTAGGTACTATTTAAGATCAGTACATCACACCTGGATTACAAGCAACAGCTTCCGATCACAGATCGTAGCTTCAACAACAATAAAGTCTTCAACTTTCCTGTTAATTATCTCAATAAATCACAATATTACAAGATTAAGGAAACCAAAGTAGTTTCACAAAATCAGATAAAAGAAAAGGATCAAACAGAAATGGATAATTTACGGCCGACAAAGGGGAATGGATAAAGGAGAAGAGAATTGGTGTGAGTGAGAGAAGATAAGAGATACTTTTTTCTGTGTGTATTGAATTGAATTGAAGAAGAAAGAGAAATAGAGAAAGATTAGTAAAGTCAGTAGTAGTAGATATTTTAATCCCATTGGGGACACACTGTGACAAGGAAACTACTTTGTCAATATGCTTTAATTATTTATTTTTGGAATGACATTTATGCCCTCTTACCTAATGCCCAAGGAAAAACATATTGTTTCTAGTAGTATAGAAGCAATAGTTTAATTTTTAATTGCTTCCAAAAAGAACATGTTTCAATAGTTATAATTTTTTGAAGCTTTGTGAGGGTTTATAACTGAAAAAAATATATTTTCTTCACAAAGTGCCTTTTGTTCCGTGAAAACTGACTTAAATTATAGTATATTTTTTATATCTGAAATTAGGTGGGGATCTGGAGTGTTCTATATGAGTTCTTGGGATTTTTATTATTGATTATTATTAAGAAATTTACAAAATATTAATAAATATCTAACTACGAATTCAGTTATTATTATATATTATTTTGAGATTACAGTAGAAACCTATATAAATTTAAAATCCTGAATCTCCATCTGTTTGTATTAATGTTTTGAAATTATATTAATGTTTGAAGTTTTTTTTAGGTATGACTAAAATATATTTTCTTAATCCATTCTTACTATTCATTTTTTATAAAATTGTTAATTATTCCACAACTTCTAAAAATCTCTCTATTCTTACACGCACTATTCTTTTGTCATGTTTAAATGATTGATTGTTTTCTTGTATTGAACTTTTTATAAAGTTTTAACATTTTAATTTTTTCAATCAAGACACGTTTACAGGAGTTGGCATGATGGATTAAATATATACCAGTTGAAACAAAATATATTTTCTTTTGGTTAAGGTACAGCGTATTAAATATACTTCTATAGATTGAAAGGGATATTTACTTTAGATATGTCGCAAATATCTGAGCATGGAAAAGGGTAGTCCTGGCAATTCAGAAAAATACAGGTTTGTTGCATTGGATGACGTCATTATCAAGCTACAGACAGATACCTTATGCCGCCGAAATTAAAAACTGCGCTGGAAGTGCCACGTGTACTTACACCGGATAAGGCTCCTTCTATTGTCAATTTCGTAAATTTCGGGGCCTTGTTTGCAAATATTCTATGGGCCCCTATCTAGGATACTAGCAGTCTAGAATCTGGATCACGCTCAGATAAATAAAATTATATATGGTTTTTACGGCTTAGCCCTTGCTTAATTATAAAAATACTGAAAAAAAGGTTTAAGAATATATCTCTCGGTCCTATTTATTATTCCACTATTAAAGTAAACTATAAAGCTCCTTCCTTCCCAATTTATTTAATACGGTTTGAAATTCGAAAAATAAATAAGAATTTCTTTGATCACGATCTTTTTGTATATATTTTAAATTTTTAATTACTGTAATTTAGTATACTTAAATAATTTTAAGAATATAACTTCTATTGTAAAAAAAAATTAATATATATGAAATCGCAATCAAAATTAAAATTTTGACTTTCAAATAAATTAAAATGGAGGGAGATGGTTAAAATATTATGATAGGTGTAAATAGTTATTGGAACAAGCAGGCAATAGCTAGCTGGCATGATGTGCTATGGACCAATTAAAATAATATCCATTTAAATGATATGGGCAATGAGAGACTAGTTCAACTGCGGCGGCTTTAATTAGTAGCCAGGCAATGTGTTGGATATTTTTTTCTTGATTTCTGCTTATTTACATTACAGCTTAGATGCCTTTGAATTTACTGGGATTTCATATTCAGTTCATTGGCTACGAAGTTGTGTATCCAAAGTATCTTTCACTTAAAAAAAAAATATTAGAAAGAGTAGGCAACTTATTAGGAAAGATAACGGAGGGAATCATTTGAATTTAATATGTGAATTGAATATTGTTTACCTTAAAACGAATAACAATTAAATTTGTATGCGATTTTAAAGATACGTGAATCGATTCAATATAAATAATTAAAGATATTAGATAAACGAGTGAAAAAAGAAAAGAATAATCAAAGGGAAATTTCCTTTAAGGGAAATTTTCATAAAGCACTATCTTTTAGTAGTAATTAGCCATCTATAGATACCATTTGCTATATTACGGATTATAGATACCTTTTATGTGGTTATAAGTTGTATTTGATGTATTTAAGCTATTGTATTCATGAATACAGTAGTAAAAATAGGCGTGAATCAGGGAAGTCCAGCTAATCAATTGTTGTATTCGAGTGTATTCGACTGTATTCATGGAGTGAAACATGGGATTACAGCTGGACAAAATATTGTATTCGACTGTATTCACGGTGTGAAATAGGGGATTACATCGTTTTTAAAACAGAAAGTGAATCAATTAACATAATAGACTCCTAATATAACTCAACTAACTCAATTATAACACACAAATTTTGTATTTTCAGTTATAAAAAAGATTCTCAACTGAAAAATACCCAATAACATAGCAATCTTCAGAGAAATTATATAATACATCTGAATACATAAATTATATTAATTAAAAAAAACTTATGAATACATTCATGGCATATAGCGAGACAGTGAATACGGTGAAATACATAGAATACAGCGGGATACATTGAAATACAATGAAAAAAGGACAGAGAATACAATAAAATACATGGAATACAACGAGATACATTGAATTACAATTAAAAAAAAAAAGACAATGAATACAATGAAATACATGAAAATACAGCGTAATACGTTGAAATTACATTGAAATATATTAAAAGAAATGTTCTTCTTCATCGCGAAAGATAAAGTTGTGGCGTGGATGTCACGTGGAATTGCTCTGGATTGATGAAGTTGATTTGAAACTGAATCAGGGGAAGGCAAATCAGATGGACTACCAAGAGAAGTATATGTCAAGACCTCAACAAAATGTGCAGCAACCATTAGAAAATTCACTCAAATGCACGACTCACTGTATATATGTCTCGGATTTGGGCAAAAGGAAGAGTTTAGTCTTGATGAGGGCACAATACGACACTTGCAGGTGTATGTATCTGATTAAAACTGATGCAGAATGGTGCTCTAGGACTTCAACAAATTTGTAGAAAAGAATTGATTTTTCCACGGCAATTCATATGCTGAAGTGTTCATATTCCACGGAATTTGCATAAGATCTAGAATTGACACATTCCATCATTAGCACTAAAACAGTCATCGCAGCCGGCGAAGATAAATCCACAAATCCTCCTTCCTCATGCTTCTGCTTCACTACCCCAAGAGTCATCTGTGAAAATTGCTCCTCAAAATTTCCACCCTTTTGATTCTCCTCAACATGAACCTTTATCGCCGGTAAATTCATAGAAGACATAGACCCAAACTATTTGGAATCTTTCATACTTGCACATAATATCACCAATAAAGTGTTTGGTTACCTTTTGAATCTTACATACTTTGCACAAATCCGGTGGAAGGAGGAGGAGATCGGAAATTTTAATGGGATGGGGGAAGAGAATGGGATGTATCAAAGTAGAGAGAGAAAGAAAATAGTGTTAATGATTAGCGTATTTAGTGGCTTAGGACTAGGAGGTAACCAAAATTAAATATTTTGCTATAAACCTTAAAAGGTATCTATAGAATATAATTTTTTTAAATGGTATTTACTTAAAATAAATAAGGTGTTAACCTTTGCTATAGGAGGTAAAAATTCCAACCATTTGTAATGTTATGGCCCGGCTTGACCTTGGGTTGGGCAATAATTTCTACCCTCAGTTGAATCCTTGGTTCGAAACCAATTGAGTATGAAGAACAACAGTAAAGTAAAAATATTTCAATAGCTAGAAAGCATAACATTGATTTTGTATTGTCTTGGTATTAGGGCTAATTATCGGGTGGATCGGACGGTTATTTACACTTAACAGTTCGGCTTATCGGTTATCAGCTTTTAAGTGTATTAATCCGCTAGCCACCCGATAAGATAGCGGGTGGATTGATAACAGTTTAGTTATTATCGGGCGGTTTATCGACCTATTTGAATCTATATTGCAGAGGGTTATTTTGGCAACAAACTGATAAAATTATACAAACATACGGCCATACAGTGATACAGTCTGCACATAAAGTAATCTGCTCATTCTACAAACAAACTGATACAAGGCAGCAAGTTATGACAACCTTGATGTTTTATACTTCAATACCACACAAGAGTGGGGGGGGGGGGGAGGGGTGATTGTTGTGGTACCGANAACTAAACTATAGAAGGACCTGGTTCTTCTATGTGTTCCAACTACTACTGTTTGCGGAATAAGAAGTAAAGAAAATAAAAACACAGAGATTTTTACGTGGAAAACACCTGGCTCAAAGGGTGAAAAAACCAGGACCTACTACTCAGTAGGATTTTCCCAAACTTCCACTAAAATCACTGAGCCAAAACAGCATTTACAAAACTCTTTGTAAACCTAAGGATTAACTCTAATCCCGTTGTGGAACACAACCTCAACTGCTGCGACAACTTCAAGTTAACACTAACTTGAACACTCTAAGTACCTAATACAATTGCTTCTATAAAAGAAAGGTACAATGTAAAATCACCTACTACAATTGAACTAGAATAAAAGATAGATACTTGAAACTGGTTCTTCTATCTTGTTCAAGTAGCTTCAGGTTTGCATGTTTGAATCACACATAAATTGCTTGCAAAATCGCCTTGCTCTTTTTCTCTCAATTTAAGTTTAACTTCTGCTTATGTGCATTACCTGTAAAAGAGAACAACACTGATATTTAAATGGGTTAGTAGTTAGAGATTAACTAGGATACAGATTCTACTCTTCTATCGTAGAAGAGTTCTAGTTGATCTCATACTCTAACACTATCCTCTTCTTAAACTGTGTTCTCTTCATGTAAGGAGTCTTTCTCTCCTTATCCAGTATGCAACCTTTTCGATCAGATCAGGAGATATTACTTCTGATAAGTTAGATTTATCTCCTTCACGTGCATCTCACATGTTTGGGTCGGTCATGACTGTGTTTCACAAGATGGACCCGGTCCATGTCTGAGTTATTTTGTCAGTCTTCAAAAC